AGGAAGACACTGAGGTGAGAAGTTCCTAGGGCTGGGGCCTAGAGAATCTGGAGCAGAGGAATACCATCCAGAGTCAGATCACATGGGTTCAAATCCCAGTTCTGATGATACCCGTGGCACCTTGAACCATCTCTGGACCTCAATTTTCTTATCTGTAAAATGGGGGAAGAGATAGAAGATTGGACCATATTATCTCTAAGGTTCTTTTTGAGTCTAAATCCTTGGACCTGGTTTTAAAAAAAGTGACCAAAGACAAGAGAAAAACTTGGGTCATGGCCACAGAATAGTGGGTACCATCCTCCCAGTCCCCCAGACTCACAGCCTCCTCACTCTCACCTCACAAATCCAATCTCCTGTCAAGCCTTGTCATTTCTAGCCTCACCACATCCTCCCATATATAGCTCCTTCTTTCCTCTAACACTGCCCTCCACTCTGGTGCAGACCCTCATCAGCTCTCAGAAGGAGGAGAGATGGAGATGACGATGAGGGACAGAGGTTTCAGGTGCCCATAGGAGAGGGCGAGGGGATGTTAAAGGATGAAAGAAAGCCTCCTTGACAGTTCCCAAAGAAAATTAAAGAGTGCATATACAACCGGCCATGCTTTTTCTCTGGATTGGAATGCCCTTCTGCTCTGCCCCACCACCTAGTGAGCTCCCTCTTCTTCTCTCAAAGAGAGAAGCAAGGGGAAGGTGTCTGAAATATGGGGGACTCACGTCAGTAAAGCCAAGAGGGTGTCAAACATGCCTACTGCCCACAATAAAAGCAATGGTACCTGGGGAAAGGGAGTAGGAAAAAAGGCATGTGACCCAAAATGGCCAGCATTCTTCTGTGATCCAGAATCCTGGGTTGTGGGGAGGTCTCAGGCAACCAAACTCTGCCCCTGCCAATTTGTGCAAATTAATTATTCCCTAAGTTTCTTCTGAATCCATTTGATTGATAAAAGGAGGTCTGCAGAAGTCAGGTCAAGGAAATGGGTGGGGGCCCTTAAGCCCACCTGCTCCCTTGACTCCCTCTAACTCTTGGCCCAGGCCTTCCAAGATGGCAGAGTATTCTGGTTAGAATTTTCTGCTTCAGGCCCACTCACTGCCACAGCCCTAGCTGCAGATTTGGGGGCTTCCCTTAAGCTCACTGTGGAGTGCCCACTGAGGTCCCAGACCAGATAACTGGGAGAACCCTTCTTCTAGGAAGTAGTACTTGAGCTGAACCTTGAAAGGAATCAGGGGTTCCAAGAAGCAGAGATAAAGAAGGAAAGCATTTCAGGCATGTGACAAAACCTTACTTTATTATCACGGGATAATGTAATCATCATTACATTATCTCAAATGATAACAATGTTTATGTAGCGCTTAAAGTTTTGTATATATTATCTCACTTTATCCTCACAACAAACTATGAGGGAGATACCATTATTGTCCCCACTTTCTAGATGTGGAAACTGAGGCTGATAGGTTAATCAACTTGCCTAGGCTGACATAGTGTCTGAGGCTAGATTAGAACTCAAGTCTTCCTGATTCCAATCTAGTGCTCCATCCACAACACCACCTAGCTGTCTCACAAAAGCATTTATTAGTGTGCCAAACACTGTGCTAAATTCTGGGGGTACAAGTAGAAAATTGAGATAGCCCATGTCCTCAAGGAGCTCACATTCTACAGAGGAGGGAGAAACATATAAAAGAGGGCTCAAATTCATGTTTGAGTCATGGCAGACAGAAAGACCAGAGAGTATTTGGGCAGGGAAAGCAACAGCACATATGGCAAGGCCCAGAGGACCTTGGGAAGCGATAACTGAGTAAATGTCCCCCTACTACAAGAGAACAGTGGATCTCAGGGGTCAGAGTGGAGTGGGAATCTGTGATATCTCCAGCAGAGGTAGGGATCTGAAGGTCAGCCTCCAGCTGGCAGGTCAAGGTTCAGCCTGGGCAGTCATCTGAGATTCAATTATTGAGGCCATGGAAGGGCCACACATACCAAGGAATTTGGACATTATCCTTCAAGTGATGAGCTAACTGCTTAGAATGGGCTTTGCCTTCTCCTTCTTCCCCTCCCTTCTTCTGCCACCTCCTGATTGGTGCCCAAGATTGACCAACACTCTGAATTCACATTTGTCTAAGGCCATACCCACTCAGTGGACCCCAATTCCCTTTTTCCTGGGCAGTCTAATGCTTCCTGGGGAGGCTGAAGGTCTGAACCTTCAACTCTCCTCCATTTCCCTCTCGAATTGCTCAACCTTCCCCTTTCCATCTCTTGCCAACTAGTTCCCTAAACCTGCAAATCCTATGCCGACAAGTTGGTGTTAGTCAACCTATATAGTTCATGGAGGAGAAGCCTGATCCCAGAATCTGAGAGTGAATGAGAAAGTGCTTACTATTGTACTAGGCACTATGCTAAGAGCTGGAAATACAAAGACAAAAAGTGAGACAGAGCCTGCCCATGAAGGGCTTACATTCTATTTAGGGAGAGGTAACCCATCTAGGGCAGTGGTAACCAGGGAAGGAAGTTGAGTCAGAGGAGCCACAGGGATGGTGAGCAGCTCTCAAGGGGCAGTTGGTTGATATGCCTTTTCCAGAAGCAATAGTAGTGTTGATTTGATTATAATACCCAAGAGTAGGAAGTAAAGGAAGCAACCAGGAAGACAGCAAGGGTGAAGGAGCATGGTCAGGACCATAGAAGGCTTGACATGGTGAGATCTTGACCCAACCTTCCCCAGTGGTTGGCATCTTTCCTCCTTTTCATGGCTAAACTCCCGGGGGAAGGTGTCAACAACACTCTCCTCTTTAGCTTTTCGTGACATTACTCTCCTGGTTCTCCTCCTATTCAACTGACCACTCAGTTTATTTGTTGGATCTTCCTCTAATTTATGCCCACCAGCCATGGGTGTCCCTCAAGGGTCTGACCTGAGTCCTCTTTTTTTCTCCCTCTGTACCAGTGGTATCAAACTCAAACAGAAATGGGGCCACTAAACCTTACATAAAAGATCCCTGAGGGTGCAGATTGACTTAGGAAACCACATATTAACATCGTCTATGTTCTATTGCATTTTTCCTTACTTGGTTAAATATTTCCTAATTCCATTTTCATCTGGCTCAACCTCTGGAGGTTGTAGGCTACCTGCAGTGATACCTCTGCTCTGTACTACCTCATCTGTGATCTCATCAAGTCCCATGTACCTAATCATCATCTCTATGCAGCTGATTTTCAGATCCATTGATCCAGCCTCTGTGCTGTCCTCCAGTCTGAAATCACCAACTCCCTATTGGACAACTAGATGTTCCATCAACATCTTAAAGTGCAACATGTCCAAAAAGGAACTCATTAACCTTCCCCCTAAACCTTCTCATCTTCTGAATTTTTCATTGCTATTGAGGGCACCCCCATCATCCCAATCACCCAGGCTCACAATTTTGGTACTCCTCACTCTCACTGAGTCCACATAGACAGTCTGTGCCTACCTTCACGGTATATCTCTCATATAGATACCCTTCTTTCCTGTGATGCTGCCTCCGTTCTGGGGCAGGCCCTCATCTTCTCATACCCGGACTATTTCAAAAGCCTCTTGGTCCATCTCCTCACCTCAAGCTTCTCCCCATTCCAGTCCATCCTTTACTCCACCGCCAAAGTGATTTTCCTAAAGCACAAACCTAACCATATCACGCCCCTCCCTGCTCAGTAGACTCCCCATCCCCTCCAGGACTGAATCTAAAAGCCCCTGTTAGGCTTTTAAAGCCTCCACACCTTTCCAGTCTTCTTACACTTGACCTCCCTCCGTGTATGCTAACACCCAACACTGGCCTTCTCCCAGCTCCCCACACAGGACATCCCATCTCCTCGCTCCATGTCTTTGTCCTGGCTGTCCTCCATACCTGCAACATCCTCCTCTCTCACCTCAGCCTTGTGGCTTTCCTCTGAGAATCAAATCTCACCTTCTTCAAAAGGCTCTCCTGCTGACCCTTCCCTCTGAGATGACCTTCCTCTTACACCGTACATTATCTTATATCGTTTCTTGTGTGTCGTCTCCTCCATGAAAATGTAAGTTTCTTGAAGGCAGAGACTGGGTTTTTGCTTTTTCTTTGTATCCCCAGGGCTTGGCACAATGCCTGGCACAGAAGTAGTCTTTTTATTTATTTATTTATTTTTTTTAGTGAGGCAATTGGGGTTAAGTGACTTGCCCAGAGTCACATAGCTAGTGAGTCTTATGCGTATGAGGCTGAATTTGAACTCAGGTCCCCCAACTCTGTGGCCAATGCTCTACCCACTGCACTATCTAGCTGCCCCACAGAGGTAGTCTCTTAAAAAATGTATGTTAACTACATCAAATTGCTTGCCTTCTCAAGGAGGGGGTGGAATTCAGAACTCAAAAAATGTTAAAGAATGTTAAAAATTGTTTTTATATGTATTTGGGGGGAAAATAAAAATTAAAAGAAAGAAAAATACATGTTGATGATGATGATGATGATGATGATGATGATGATGATGATGGTCTCATCAATCAGGACAGCCTGGCCCTAGAGCATGAGTTACAAAGCTTCTGCAGTTCCTGGTCCCTGGAGCTCTATGGACAACTTGGCAAATGGCCAGAGCGAAAAGGATTGGAAGGAATCTCTCAGTCTGTCCCCTCCTACTTCCTCAATAGGCGTCAAGCACTTTGGCCACGAACACAGGGACACTGGGGCATGGGGAAGAAGAACAGGGCTAATGGGCCTTCTTCACACAAAGTAAGGGCATCTTTAATTATGTCCTCTCTAGCCCTGGACCCCTCCCCCCAATTCTTAGAGAAATACTGTGTCTAACTGAGATTACCTTAATGTCTCAAAGCAGTAGGTGGTAACAGAACTGAGACTCGGAAGCAGCTGATTGCCAAATCAATTTACTTGTTTGATACATTATCTCGATCCCATTTAACTGAGGACTCGTTCCTTCCCCCACCCTCCCTCCAAAGCAATCAGTGCAATTGATGTGAACAGAGGTGTCTCTTAGCTTCTGCTAAGAACGGAGGCAGCAAGATGCCTGACCTTGCCAGGGACTGGAGGCGTAGGGGAGCCATTGGGGGTAAGGACCCAGGTGATGAGCAACCCTCGGAGAGGCAGAGACGTAGGATGCCAGACTGGCCAACAGGCAAAGTTAGCCTGTGCCTCTTGGTGAGAAAAAAGGGCATCTTTCTGCAGTGGATTACAGAAACATAGACTGCATCGTAGAGCTGGAGTGCACCTCAGAAGCCGCTGAGGCTCTCATTCTGTAGATGAGGGGATTGAGGCACAGAGAGGTTAAGCAATTTTCCCAGAGTCACATTGCTAGTGAGTATCCTGGGGGAATTCAAAGCCAGTTCTTCCTAACCCCAAGTCCGGTGCTGTATCTACCATAGCATGTCTTCTCCCTGTAAGACCATCCCATTTCAGTGACCCTCTCCACCTAGCTATGTGACAAAGATCACCACGTTTACCAATGTAAGGGAATACTACTGAGCTATAAGAAATGGCAGCAGGGATGGGTTCAGAGAAACCTGGCAAGACTTGTATGAGCTGATGCCAAGTGAGGTGAGCAGAACCAGGAGAGCAAGTTATATAATAACAGTACCATCGAGGCAAATAGCTTTGAAAGCCTGATTGATGTAATGACCAGCCATGATTTCAGAAGGCTGGTGACAAAGCACACTACCTGACAGAGGCAGTGGACTCAGGATGCAGAATGATACATGTATTATTTAGTCATGGCCAAAACAAGAATTTGTTTTGCTTGCTTGTATTTATTTTATATTTATTGTACATATGTGTAAATATAAATATATGTATATTTATATATATATTGTATATATGTATATATATGTTGTATATATACAGTACAATATTGTATATTTTTACTATATTTGTTTTATGTATTTTTGTGTATATTGTGTTGTGTATTTGTTTTTTGTATATTTGTTTTAAGAAAGGTTTTGTTTTTCTTTTTTAATGGTGGGGAAAGACGGGAGGGAGAGAAACTAGATTTTTGTTCATTGAAAAAATTAAATTTAATTCATTTTTAAAATTTAAATTAATTTGAAAAAAAGCCACCACAATATTTAGCTTGCAGGAGACGTGCGTGGCTGGGGAGGCAGATAGGTTGTGTGCACTACAAATGAGTCCCTGGGCATAGCACCCCAAACCCAGGATGCCAGTCAGCCGACAATCTTCATCTGCAAAGATGTAGGTGATGGCCCGAAACCCAGAAGCACCATCTGTTGTCTTAGCTCTTCAATACTGATGAGAGAGAAGGGGCACTAGAGTTCCATCTGCTTGGAGGTGACACACGAAGGCCAAGCCATGGCATCTTAGCAAGCTGTGTCTCTGCCAGAGGACACAAGTCCACTTGTTCCACTTGTAATCTCAAGGGGCCAATGCGTCCTCAGAGTTTGGAGGTACGTCAGCGCCTCTTTGTCCAGAAAGTCAGGTAGCCACATCACTTTCTCCCTTCATCCCTCCTTCCCCCTACCCCACCCCAGTCTGCCAAATTCTTCTTGGTTCTCACTCCCCAGAGCTCCCAGGCGCCGGGAATGTCAGTGCTGTTGTACTCTCGAGAACAGAATGCGTGCCATCTGTCCAACCCATCTCCCCTCTCTCCCTGCCTGCCAATTCACGGGGTGGGTGTGAGCCTGCCCAGGGGCTGGCGGCCCCACTTCCAGACAGGCAGAGGACCTGATCGTCTCCCTCCAAACTCCCTCCCATATTCTTTTGCTTCACTTCTATTTTCCTTCCCGTCATTTCATTAGCTATTCATGAAACCATTTTGAAATAGTCAGATCAAAAACCTCTTTGCGTCCTCACGTGTGGGAAGGTCTGGGTAACTTGTAGCATCTGCTTCTGAAACAAGAGGACCCTTAAGGCTGAAAGTCCCCAACTCCAAGAAGCTCATTTTACTGACCTCACCCCCCCCCACCCTCCTCCTGGGGCTGGTCTGCAAGAAAAAGGATCTTGAGGGTCCTAGTAGACCACGAGTTGGGCAGCTATCAATCAATATAGCAAGGCAATTAAATCATCCAGGAAAAGTGATAATAGAGATAGCGGAAGTTTTTAATCATATTTCTAGCAGGTGAAACCCTCACTGGATCCTAGGCACTCCAAGTATGACCTGCAGGAAAACTTTCCCAATCCTAGGGCCTTCCCTCTGTTAATTATCTCCAATTCCTTCTATATGTTTCTATATTTTTCCAATAATTTCTTCCATATATATATATGGTCACACAGCTAGTAAGTGTCAAGGGTCTGAGGTCAGATTTGAACTCAGGTCCTCCGGACTCCAAGACCAGAGCTCTATGCCCTGTGCCACCTAGCTGCCCCATATATTTCTTCTATAGCTTGTTTGTTCATAGCTGTTTGCATGCTGTCTCCTCCATTAGGCTTTGAACTCCTTAAGAGAGGGGACTTTTTTTTTGCCTCTCTTTGTATATCCCCAGTGCCTGGCAAACATAATTAATTTATAAATCCCTATTGGCTGAATAGGGTCAGCTAGGAGACCCCACAGTGCATAGAGCGCTGGTCTTGGAATCAGAAACACTCATCTTCCTGAGTTCAAATCTGACCTCAGACACTTCCTAGCTGTGTGACCCTGGGCAGGTCACTTCACTCTGTTTGCCTCAGTTTCCACATCTGTCAAATGAGCTGGAGAAGCAAATGGCAAGCAAACCACTCCAGTGTCTTTGCCAAGAAAACCGCCAAATGGAGTCATGGAGACTCTCACATGACTGAAATGACTGAACAACAACAAAACTGGCTGACTAATTCATATTTGTGTCTCCAGCTTAATAAATGTTTATCAACTGACTGACTGACAGGACCCTGGACAAGTCACTTGACCCCTGAATCTTATTTCATAGCAACCCTGCAACTCAAGAAGGGTAAGAAGAATACAGGGAGAAAACAAGTGAGACATGGAAGTACGGATGTGTTGGCAAATATTTAACAACCGGCTTTGGGGTGGGGGTGGATGTATGCATGACACACTTTCAAATTAATCTTGCACTATTAATGTTTTCTCCATCACATTCTCGAGTCTAGACAATGAACGAAACAATAAGTCAGATCCTGACTTGTAGTTTGCTGATTTTTGAGGTGTAAATGTTCACCCTGGAAATTTAACCATCTGCTCTCACAAGCTGTACAAGCCAGCTCTAGTGCACCACTGAATGGAAGTAAGGAAATGTTTGGAAAAAAGGATCCGCTGAGGGAAAAGTGAAATAAACTCGTCTTTCTGTCGACCTAAAAGGGGGCGTCTGTGCTGATGGAGGACCCCAGAAAGAATGTGCAGAATGTGAAGGACAAGTTTGCTGAGAACCATAATCCACTGCCCTCTAAAGGGGCAGAAAATGAATTAAACTAGGACCTAAGATTGAAGTTGTAACAGGTAGCATGGGGAAGAGAAATAGGGTGGCATCAGGAGACCCAGGCTTTAGTCTCAATCCTAACAATCTGGACCACTCTGGGCCTCAATGTTTTTATCAGTACAATGAGAGGGTTGGACTAGGGCAGCTAGGTGGTGCCATAGTGCACAGAGCACCCAGCCTGGAGTCAGGGCAACTCATCTTCCTGCGTTCAAATCCAGCCTCAGACACTTACTAGCTGTGTGATCCTAGGCAAGTCACTTAACCCTGTTTGCCTCAGTTTTCTCATCTGTCCAAAGAGCTGGAGAACAAAATGGCAAACCACTCCAGTTTCTTTGCCAAGAAAACCCCAAATGGGGTCATGAAGAGTAGAACACAACTGAAAAAAGGCTGTACAACAACAAAGATCCCTTCCTGAGATTAAAACTTGCCTTGGACACTAGCTGTGTGACCCTAGGCAAGTCACCTGACCAATACAGGCCTCAATTTCCTCATCTGTAAAACGAGGTTGTCTGGACCAGATGGCCTCCAGGGTTGTAACACAATGGAAAAAGCCCTGGATTTAGAGGCAAAGGACCAATCAGGCAATCAACAAGCATTTGTGAAGCAAACGTGAGATAGTACCTGCCCTCAAGTAGCTTACGTTCTACCAAGGATCTTGAGTTCAAATCATGGTTCTGTTCCCTGTCCGGGGGCCCCTTGGACAACTCATTTGATGTCTTCGGGCCTGTTATTTTTTCTAATCTGGACATAGAGAAGGGGGTTCGGATCAATAATTTCTAAAGTCTCTTCCTGCTCTGATAACAAGAGCTTCCATTTCTATATGTCTTGCTAAGGTTTGGAAACTGTTTTGTGTCCATTATTTCACGTGATCCTCATAATAATCCTATAGAGATAGTATCCGTCATCATTTTACCAAGGAGTAAACTGAGGCCCCGAGAAGTGAGTGAATGGCTCCATGTCCTACAGCCTAAGCTTCAGAGGTGGTATTCCAACACAGGTCTTCCTGCCTCCAAGACTGAAGCACTATCCACTACGCAGGCAGAGGGACTTTGCTCACTAGAGATTTCTTTTTTTTGTTTTTTGGTGAGGCAAACAGGGTTAAGTGACTTGCCCAGGGTCACACAGCTAGTTAAATGTCAAGTGTCTGAGGCCAGAGTTGAACTCAGGTCCTCCTGACTCCGAGGCTGGAGCTCTATCTACTGCGCCACTTAGCCACCCCTAGAAGTTTCTTTATCAGTAAAACCCCAGGTCTGGGGCCACTCCCTATCCCATAGTGCCTGGCACATAGTAGGTGCTTAATAAATGATAGTTGATTGATTGATTGATGCTTACCTTTCATGGTGCGTCACAAGCCTCCAAACCTACGGCAATGTGAGCTGTTGTTACTGTCTTTCCAGGATTCTCCTCTGAGATCCAGAACCCAGACAGCGCAGAGACAGACAGTGAACTGACAGTGGCCCCCACGCCTGAACAGCCTGAGGGAGGGGTCCACTTTGTGAGCACAGCCCCAACCCTGAAACTGCTCAACCATCACCCGCTGCTGGTGGAGTTTCTGCAGGATACCGACGCAAAAGAGGAGGAGCTGAAGCCTGTTCCCTTCCCAAATCGGAGGGTGGTCCCCTTCCAGCCTGATGCACCAGCACTCTTCATCCCCAGCCCTCTGGCCCATCTGGCCCACCAAGACGACCGTCCCCTCTTTACCAATCCCACCCCTGCCATGGCTCTGGGCCCCACGTACAACCCGGGGAGGGACAGGGCCCAGAGTCCAGAGCCTGCGTGGCCCACTCTGCCCATTACAACGGCCCCCCAGCCAGGGCCGGGAGTAGCTGTCCCATCGTTGGCCCGGGCTGAAGTGCCCGTGACAGCCCCTTCCCGAAGTACGTGGATGGTGACCCACGACATGCCCATGGACTTGGCCCAGCCGTGGGTCCCAGAGGTCGTGCCCCCTCAGGCCAGAGAACCAGGGGCAGGGATTCCTGCCACCACTACTGCTTCGGGGGACGACGAGGAAACTACCACCACCACCATCATCACGACGACCACCATCACCACCGTGCAGCCGCCAGGTCAGACTCCACCCCGGGAGTGGGTTGGGCATCCTCGGAAAAAGACTCCCCAGAAGCCGTCCCTCAGACAAAGCCAGCAGCTTCCATCCAAAAGCTAGGCAGACTCCTATAACTGGCGCTAGAGGGGTGAGGGAAGGGAAATCAGCCTTTATGTAACACCTGTCATGTGCCAGGCACTGTGCTAAGCACTTTACAAACATTATCTAATCTGATCCTCACAACAGACTTGGGAGGTAGGTCCTGATATGATCCCCATTTTACAGCTGAGGAAACTGAGGCAGTGAAAAGTTAAATGACTTACCTAGGGTCACGGCTAGTAAGTATCTGAGGTCACATTTGAACTCAGGTCTTCCTGACTCCAGACTCAGCACTCTATCCACTGCACCCTCTAGTTGCCACTATTAGAAGCAAAGCATCTTGGTAGCCAAACACACCAGGTACTTGTGAGAGTCCCTTGAGATGACCGGTGCACCAACCACAGGGATCTGTCCGTAATAGGCAATGCATGAATAATCGGTAAGAGGCAGCACAAGAGATCTGAGTTCATATCCTGCCTCGAACAATTATTACCTATCTGACCTTGGGTAAGTTTCCTCCCCTGTACAATGACAGTTTGGGCTAGATGACCCCTGGGGTGCCTTCTAGCTTTAGACTTAAAATAGAAGTGATGGTGGTTGGGGCAGCTAGGTGGCACAGTGGATAGAGCACCAGCCCTGGAGTCAGGAGGACCTGAGTTCAAATCTGGCCTCAGACATTTGACACTTACTAGCTGTGTGACCCTGGGCAAGTCACTTAACCCCATTGCCTAGCCAAAAAAAAAAAAGTGATGGTGGTAGTGGTCATGATGGAGGTGATGATGGTAGCTGTGGCAATTTGCTCTCTGCTTGAGGACAGGGCCAGAGCATAGCAGGGGCAAACCTTGAGGATCTGCACCAACTGCTCCCCTTCTCCCTCTGGGCAATCCCCATAGGCTGCTGGTCAAAGGCAGGGGTGCCCATGGACTAGTAATGGCCATTGGCAGTAAGCCGGCCCCTCCCATGGCAGTGACCTGACCTGAAAGTCGGAACATTCCCAAGAAAGGAGCAGGCTGGTTTTTCTGGGAGGTGATAGAGGCAGCAGGGAGACACAAGTCCATTTACTACCTTATCACTGATCAAATCTCCCAAGAAGCTCAGGGTAACCATGGGTTTCCTTTTGTTTCCACCTGGCATGTAGCTCCTTGTAGCTGGAATTTCACAAGGCCTCAGGGCTCTCTGAACTCTCCAGAAGGACCCAGTTCATCGGATGACAACAGCCTGGATTGTTTCTACTATATCACGGTCTATCCTGGCTATGGTGTAGAGATTAAGGTGAGTGAGGGGCCCCGGGGCACTAAAAAGGACCGGGAGGGGGACACAAGTGTTTATAGGACCTACTATGTGCCAGACACTGTTTGTGGATGCTTTTATGATGCCCATTTTACAGTTGAGGAAACTGAGATTCAGAGAAACAACAATTTAGTGACTCATCCAGGGTCACAGTGCTAGTGTCTGATGTCAGTGATGCTGGATTTTAACTCTAGTCTCCCTGAGTCCAAGGCAAGCTTTCTAGCCACAGCAGCACCTGGCTGCTCCCCTGAAGAAAACTGGAAGCCAAGAGACAGACAGCATCAAACTCAAATATATATAAACAGGAGCCACTACTCCATACATAAAGATCCTCTGCTGCATATCGACTTAAAATGTGATGTTATCAATGATTTGTTGTATTTTTATTTATCTTGTTAAAAGTTTCCCAATTACATTTTAATCTGGCTCTGCCGAAGACTGTTGTAGGTATGAGTTTGACACCTCTGGTGTAGCGAACAAAAGAGTATTGACCATGGAATCAGGAGACCTGGATACTAACACCCTTGATTCTACCTGGATTCAAATCCCCACTTAGATACTTCCTAGCTGTGTGACCCTGGACACATCACTTTTCTCTCTGCCTCAGTTTTCTCATCTGTAAAATGATGGGGTTAGAGTCAATGACCTCTGAGGTAGCTTTCAGCTTTGGAGCTACGATCCTATGACCTCCTGGTACCATCATGTCTTTGCCTGTTCGATGACCAATGCCAAGCCAAAACCTCAGTTTCCTCAACTGAAAAATGAAGAGGTTGGAGTAGATGACTCTTCCATCTCTAGAGGCTATGGTGCTATGATCCCTCTCCTTTGGGAACAAAGCAGATTTTTATTCATCCATCTTCAAGGGGCCAAATCCCAATGCCCCAAGATACAGTGTACTGAGAATATGGGTGCCTGATGCCAAACAGGCATAGCCAAGGTGGCTAAAATATAGCTTGGAAAAAAAAAAGACTCAGAGTTAGGATCTTGGTAGGAATTGGGGAGGGAGCCAGTCAGGCTTAACCCCAGGCCTGGGCCACACTATTTATCACCCCCTCTCCAATTGAACACAGGTCACTCTTCTTCTCAGGCCAGGTCCCTCAATCCTGTTGCTGTTGCCTGAGAGGGTAATTAGTAGCAGAGGTTACCCAGACACCCCCCTCCCACCAAGAGCCATTAGCACTCAGTGCCGCTTAATTAACGTAATTAATGTAAAATCATCACCTAATGAGAGGTGGCACTGGCTGTGTTTCTCTGGGTGGAACAAGCCAGCTGCAGGTGTGGGGGAGGGGACAACTGGTAGGTCCCTGGACTGGGGCCCCTTCTCCTTCCTCCCTAATAACCTATCCATAAATAGGCATACTTTGAGTCACATTCCTGCCCCACGGGGTCCTGAACAGAAAGAGAAGCACCAGGGTCTATTCCAAAAGCAGGCAGAGACATGGGGCTCTACCCACTAATCTACTCTACCCTCCCTATCTCCTGTGCCATGGGTATAGTGAGTCCCTTTACAAGGGGTATAGATGTCTGTACTTGTGTGTGTATGTGTATGTGTGACACACATCTTTTTGTCAGAATGCAAAAGCTGTTACCAGGCAACAACAAAATTAAGAACTGCACATCCCCCAGTCTGGTATTTCTAAAATGCCAAGCAGAAGCCCACTCCCCCACCCCTCCCCTTCCCCCGTTGAGGAGTCAACAGAAAGACAGTCGTGACATTGTACAGATGGGACTGCACAGAGGGGAGGCAATTAGAACAACATCAATGAGTGGCATGACATAGGACGGTGACCACTTGTGTGACCTTGGTTGAACAAGTCCCTCTGAGCCTCGGTTTCCTGATCTGTAAAATGTCGAGGCCAGTTTAGAACAAGGGTTCTTAACATGGAGTCTGTGAACTTTTTAAAAAATATTTTAATAACAATTTCAATAGAATCAGTTTCCTTTGTTATCCAATGTATTTTATATTATGCATTTAAAACCATGATTCTGAGAAGGAGTCTATAGGTTTCCCCAAACTGGGGTTCAGGAAGGGGGGGGGTTCCAGAACACAAAAAGGTGAAGAACCACAGGTTTAGATGATGCCTCTACTTATAAATTCCACAGTCCTTGGATTGCTCTAGTGGGGAAGGGGGTGCTCATTACTACAGGCAGCAGGAAGTAGAAGCTGGGAAGCCCAGTGGTGGATGGGACATAGGCACCAGCAACCTGCACTCAAAGAAATAATGAGATTCGTTTCATTTGTATTCGGGAAAAATGGACTTGGCTTCTCTCGCCTTTCACACACACCCCTCAGAGCAAGGCTGGGACAGGGAGGGCTGTCTGTGAAATGCTCTGCCCCATCAAGGCTGACAGAGATGTCTACCTGTATTATCTCTCCTGAGAACAGAACACAAAACGATAAAACCTCTCATAAAGAATACGTGACTGGGAGTCTGAAGGACGGGGTTAAATCCCATCTCTGCCACAAACTAGCTATGTGACCTTGGGCAAGTCACAATTTCTCAGAGTCAATAAATTACAAAACAATTTTACAGTGATTTGCACTGGCAAAATTTTCTGGAAGATTCCTGCACTAATGAAATCACAGGTCCAGAACAATAATATGGTAATAATAATAAATCATATTTCTATAACATCAATAAGTCTTACACAAAAGCCGCTTAAGTTGTCATGCCGGGCCGCACCAGGATAAACAAATTTCAGAGCTGGGGTGGCCAGGCCCTTGGCCCAAAAGAGAAGCACTCTCCAGGCTGGGAGGGGCACTTTCTTTCCTCGATAGTATCTGTGCTTCATGCATCATCCACCAGGCATGCCTCTAGTAGGATTGAGGGAGAGGGTGATGCCCTGGAGAGGCTATTGAAAGTGTGTTGACACATGTATAACTTACATCAAACTGCTTGCCTTCTCAATGAGAGGGGAGAGAATTTGGAATTCAAAATTTTTTTTAAAATGGTAAAAAATTTTGTAGGTAATTGGAAAAAGAGAAAATATTTTAAAATCTGAAAGTGCAGAGGACCAGGGTGAAGAGTAGAGAGGGTGCCTCGTCTTCTGGGGAAGCTGCCCTAACAAGGCAGGAACCGACAGGACTCAGAGCTCCAGGGACCTCAATCAGCTGGGTCACGTAAAGCTCTCCTCCCTCTCCGAACCAGGAACTACTTCCAAAGTGCTCACTCCAATTGAAAAAAAAATCCTCCTTAAGTTTCATTTTATAACAGGATTGCAGCCCCCACTAGTATCCCCCTTCTCTTTACTGTCGGGGTACAGCCTCTGGGAACCCAACCTTCTGGGAGTTACAGTCAACAACTGCCCCTACTCACTCTCCTACTTCATTTGCTGACTGGTAGGTGGTATGTATGTGTAGAACGAGTATAATGGATGGAACTGGGTCAAGAATCAGGAAAACCTAGGTTCGAGTCTGCTTCTGACGCATACTGACTTTGTGATCCTGAGCAAATCACCACCTCCCAGTGGTCCAGGCAGACCTTTAAGATGATAATTTACAGAGGAGGGGGCCAGCTGTGCTGGTAGAGGGAACCTCCTCATTGGGAGTGCCCTGTGTTAATAAAAGTCATAGGTCTGATATGAAAAAAAAAAAACCCACAACATAGACAGAGACACAGAGACAGAGAGAGACAGATAGAGACACAGACACAGAGAGAGAAGCGGGGAGAGAAAGAGAGAGACAGAGAGAGAAGGTCATTTAAACCAACCCCTTCATTTTACAGAAGGGGAAACTGAAGCCAAGAGAAGGGAAATAGCCCAAATAGGTAATAAATAAATGAGCTGGTATTTGAACCCAGAATCCCTTTTTCCTAATCCCTGTTATTTGCACTTCAACTCATCTAAACATCTCCCTCCCCATCTTTGTCACCTCGAATCTTTCCATCCCTACACCTAGGCAGACCCTTGGGGGTACCTGCCCCCCAAGGACCCTAAGCAACCTTGATGGTACCCAGCATCCCTGGGTCCCCACTGTCTTTTAAAGAATTGGCGCCAAGATGGTAAGAGAAGGAAGCCATGGGGCCTCCATTCTGGGATAGGGCTGAGCCCACAGGCTGCCGGAAACTCTTTGGTCGTAATTAGTGAGGAAATCAGATTCTCTCCAGACAGGCAGGCATCAGGGTATCGTCTTGGCATATTAGCAAAGCTTCTTTCCTGAGGCAAGAGATGAGAGCCCAGACCCATAAGTTCCTGGTGGGTACTGTGGGTGGTTGGGTGAGCACCAGCCCTCAACATCACCCGGTGCCAGGCCCTGTCCCATTTCCCTTAGCAGAGGGCAGCCAGTTGACACCCCTTACCCCATGATCATGATTTCCCCTTTGGAGGCTACAGTTCCATCTGCATGCCAGGGCCAGGTGCCCACCCCCTCCTCATGCTTGGCATTCCAAAAACGTGCTCAGTGCCGACTCCCTTCCTCGACTTGGCTGGGTTCTGAGGCCATCTGGCAGCCTGGATGCAGCTGCCCAGATCTCTCCACCCTCCCACCCTTTTCCCTCTTGGCTATGTTTGCCCCCACATACTGCAGGTGCCACCGTTGGCATGCTGTGTTCATGCGCTAGTCTGGATGCCAGCTGGATGCTAGGGTCTATCTTAGCCCACCCTGTGGAAAAAGGCCTCTCCCTCCGATCCATAGTTCACAACATCATCGGGGTAGAGCGGGAATGGACCTCAGAAGTCACCTCGTCCAACCCTCTCATTGCATAGAGAAGGAGGCGAAGGCCCGGGGAGGTGAAGCGCTGTCATAGGCTCATAGATCTGGCAATGGAGAAGACTTGGAAGGATCTCTGGTACAACCCCTTCATTTTATACGTGAAGAAACCAAGGCCCAGACTAATGAAGTAATTTGCCCAAGGCCACACTAGGGAGAAGTGTCAGAAGTGAGATCTGAACTGCCCCGTCCCTCTGTTACAGAGCTGGTCCTCTCTGCCCCTCCCTACCCTATCTTCAAGCCCATTATGGATGGCTCTGGCTCCACCATCCAA